CAGCTCAGCTCAGAGCATCCCATCCCAGCTCAGCTCAGCTCAGAGCCACCCGGCTCAGCTCAGCTCAGAGCCACCCATCCCAGCTCAGCTCAGCTCAGAGTCACCCAGCTCAGCTCAGCTCAGAGCCACCCATCCCAGCTCACTTAAGACCACCCATCTCAGCTCAGCTCAGAGTCACCCACCACACAGCTCAGCTCAGAGCCACCCATCCCAGCTCTCTCAGGACAAGGTCCACCCATCCCAGCTCACTCAGGACCAGGACCACCCATCCCAGCTCACTCAGGACCGCCCATCCCAGCTCAGGACCGCCCATCCCAGCTCATTTAAACCTTGACATTGATCATCTTTTACCCCTCTAGGCTGCCCCTCACCTGTGGCTGTGTTCAGAAATTTGTCTTGGTGGGCACCCTTCAGCTTGTCCAGCAAGGCCAGGGCATAACCAGCAATGGCCACTGTGTATGGTCTCCTCAGGTTCAAGTAGTTGGCTTCAATGAAGTCGCCTGCTTTATTGATGCTGCCTCCCAGACTCTACGAGAAAGAGGATTGGATGTCCTCTGGTCAAGTGGGCATTGCTGCCACTGACAGCTGGTGAAGATCACAGAAGCACCACTTCCTGGTCACCAGGACGGTTTCTGTCCTTGGGACATATCTATCTTGGATCTGTCTGTTCTGGAGGGCTTCCCAGACATCTTCGCCATCAGGACCTGCCTTACGGCTGAAAACCTGCAGTAGCCCATGTACTCGGTGGTGTGCTGGTAAACATTTAACAACTTGCTCTCCAGTGGGAAGGCTAGGGGAGCCCTGATTGCCAATTTCTGTGGTGTAAATACTCCAACCAGTATTGGATGACATCACTGAGCAAAGGGTTGAGAAGAGATGCCCCAAATAGGCCCTTGGAAGCTAGCAGGAGCCGGATTCAGCATACAACTATGAATGCCACTCATCCGGTCATTGCCCTTTTCATCTTCATCATTGTCACAGCTCTCATGGGCCTTGTCTCAGTCATATACCCACTCATCTAGCCTCGTAAAACCCTAGACTGCCTAGGTAGTAAGGGGCAGAACCTGGATCCAAACGTGGCATTCTATAGGTGGAGGGAGACATGATCTGTACTGTTTGCCAATTTCTGTGGTGTAAATTCTCTCTTCCTTTCTTTCTCTCCTTCCCTTTCTTTCCTTCCCTCCTTTTTTCCTTCCTTCCTCCCTTCCTCTCTCCCTTCCTGCTTTCTGAGGAGGGTGGGCTCCTAGGGCTCCCCACTTGGGAACCGAAAGTTTCCACAACCCTCTCTCCAAACCCAAGTACAAAGCATACAACACCAGGACGGCCTCTTAGGAGACCACCTTCTTTCTAAACCTTCCTGCTTCCGAATCAGAACCAGAAAAAAAGTGGACGATGAAGATCCGACAGTTTGCATTGTTTCCTGTTTGAGGTCATGGACCCCGTTGAAAAGCTTCTGAAAGATCCCCCGGGCTAACGAAATACTCTTGGCTTCGTATCTTGAGTCTCCTCTCCGGAAGCAGCGAGCGTCCAAAGCACTGATCAGGTACAGTGATGCGGAACACACGTAGAGGCTTGGGGAGACATGGGCTAAAACTCTGAGAGCAGTAAAGCCCGCCTCTGTGACCAGACTCACACAACGTGACCACAGGAAGCTCTCCAATGGGCATCTTACTAAATGCTTAGTGCGTGCTCGGTGTCCTTAGGGGCGCTGGATAGCAGTCGTCGTACTGGAGGGGACCGGAGATGCTCTGAATGCAGTCCCTGGCTCCCCAAGGTGGGTGTGCCCCGGGGGGGGGGTAGGGTGGGGAAGTGGAGGGCACTTACGTTGACTTGCCCTTCACAGATATCTTTAGCCTCCTGCAGCGCGATGAGGACAAAGGCCGTGAGGGACACATCTTTCTCTCCCGCAGCATCCCTGAAGCCACCCTGGACGCGGAGTGGGAAGCAAGGTTGGGGTCACTAGTGTTTTGCACACGAGCTCACCCATGCCCTGCAGAATGAGGGGGTCTGGGCTGGCCCGGGTCTCGTCCTAGTGTCTCCTCCCTTCCCAGGAAGATTCAGTTCTCAGGTTAACTCAGTCTGTTGTTCATTCTGCAAACATGACTGAAAGTCACGGAGCTGGCGCCATGGAGACGATGGTGGAAGAAAACCGGACACTGGCGGGCGTAATAGTCCGACAGAGAGTGACAAAGAAAGAGGGGGAGGAGAAGGCACCCTCATTGGGAATGGTCACTCTGAAATCCCTTCTTCACCTCTCCCTCCTGTCAGTATTTTGGGCACACGTGCACACACACACAGCCTGTTTCCTTTCCTTTCTTCCTTCCTTCCTTCCTTCCTTCCTTCCTCCCTCCCTCTCTTTCTTTCTTCTTCCTCTCCTCCCCTCTCTCCCTCTCTCCCTCCCTCTCTCCGTTCCTAGGTTTTTGGTCTATGGTGTGTATGCTCACCAGAGACAGAGTGAGAAATATCACACACACACACACACACACACACACACACCCCGGGTGGGATGGCCATGCTGCAATCCCTTCTCCTCCATTCTCCTCTCAGGATTTTGGACATGCACACACACACACACACACACACACAGCGTGAGTTTCATGCCACTACGTCTGGGATTCAAACTGCAGTGGACCACGTGGAAGTTCAGCGCTTTAACCCTAAGCCACCTGTTGGCCCCCGGCCTGTTTCTTAAGCCATCTGGTCCAGGACTCAAACCGTGTAGTCAGCCATGTGAGATCTAGTCAACGAACCACAAGACTACAGGGAGCGGCCAGGGTTAATGAAATTCTTAATGATCTTGGAACAGGTGGGCATGCATTTTCATTTTGCACTGAGCCCAGAGGGTCTTGGTTTTTGCAAGGTCGGGGCATCACTTCCAACTCCTATATCTTCCTGTCGCCCGGCAGAGTGGATTGGGCAGTGGGACAACCAGGGGAAGTCATCTTGTCCACCTGTGACCCTCAGGAGGCCCTCTCCTGACTCCCAGCCGCTTACAATCATTTCTTGGTGTATCACAGGACCATCCTCCTGGAAGACGCCGTCGGGCTTCTGTTTCTCCAGGATCAGCCACTTCACAGCCCCGCAGAGGACCTGGGCGTCGATGCCTATGAGGTTGGCCGCCAGCGAGAAGACCTTCACCACGTAGGCCGTCAGCCTGCGAGTGGGCACAGAGCGTGAGCCAATCAGCTCTGGGATCCAGACACTGCCCTCCCAGCCAGCCAATGAGCAGTCAGGGGCGGGGCCTGGCTGGTTCCCAGGATCCCGGAGGCTGCTTCGCGGCGCACAGTCGCCTGCAGTCGGCGCTGCTGGTCAGCCTGCAGGTGCATTGACTCTGCGTGCGGGTGCAAAGTTTGGGTGCGGGGGGGGATCCTCGGTGGTCTTGCATAGGATTTAGACCCTGCTCAGGCGATGGACACTCACCAGGTGCTGGGCGCCCGGTTGAGGAAGGCCGCGTAGGCTGAGCTGGGTTGTCTGAAGGCTAGCTGTTGAGTGTACCCTGCAGGGAAGAGAGTGTCCCCGCGGGAATGGGGGCTGAGCGGAGGGGGACCCTAAGAAGGAGGGGACACCACGATATTCAGGGAGGTGTGGAAAGGATTCAGGGTGGGGGAGGAGCGCTTAAAGGGAGGAGGGATTCTGGCGGATCAGAGAGGGGGTAACGGGGAACACAACCGGGGTGGGGGAGGAAGCAGCTATGGAAGGAAATTAGAGTGCAGAGGGACCTCACTGGAGAAGGGGCGTGACTTGGAGAGAGGATCCGGATGCCCTGTGGTGTGGGACCGGGGTTTGGGATGGTGCAGGAGGCGGACTCAAAGGAAGGAGGGACGCAGAGGGGGTTCTGGGAGTCAGAGGGAGGAGAGGGAGGTGATCTCGGAAGAGAGGAGGTTCCGGAGAGGAGAGGGGAAAGGACGGGGGTGCCGCACACGGTGGGACAGGGTTTATCCAGGAGAGGAGGGAAACGTGGAGAGGGACTCCGAGTTCTGGGCGGAGCCGGGCTGCAGAGAAGGCGAGGCGGGGAGGGCTGCGCCTCGGGCGGAGAAGGGCCACGGGAGGAGGGCGCTCGCCCCCGTAGAGGCAGGGCGCGCACCCTTCTTGATGAGCTCCAGCGCCTCCTGCCGCTTGTCGGGGCCGAACTTGTCCCACTGCTCGGTGTGGTCCAGGTAGTGCACTGCGATCACGGTGGGCGTCATCCCGATCATGTTCTGTTCCCCGCAGCCCGAGGGCGTCACGATCAGGTGCTTCAGCCGCTCGCTGTCGATGGCTTCCTCCGCCATCTGGGCCACCGGGGTGCCTGCAGCCAGGCGGGAGGTCGCGCTCAAGCGGGGGACCCTCCATAGGGTGAAGAGGGGCGTCCAGGCTGCACCCGGAGTTCCCAGTCTCCCACCAGGCAGGGCCAAAGCTCAGGAGCAGGTGGCTCCGGCAGATTGTGACTGGGGAGGGGGGTGGCTGCACGCTTGAGTGGCTGGACCTGGGTTTGCACTTGAGGGAGGGGAGCCTGGGTTTCCCATGGGTCCCCCGGGACCTCTTGTTTCCCCAATAGTAAAATAAGCCCAGTAGCAACCGTCATGAAGACATATATCATTCTTAATGTTATCGGCCAGGCTCTGCTGAAGAGAACGCTGAATAGTGTCTCACTTAATTCTTATTTTTTTGGAGAGGTTTTTGCTATAGAGCACGTGCGCTCACCAGACAGACAGAGAGACAGAAAGCGAGAAATCACCCCCCAGGGGGGATGGCCACCACGCCGCAATCCCTTCTCCTCCATTCTCCTCTCGGGATCTTGGGCACGCACGCACATGTGCCTGGTGTGATTTTAAGCCACCAAGTCTGGGATGAGAACCGTGGTCGACTACGTGGGAGTCCAACGACATAGCCATTACGCTAACTGCTGGTTCCCATAGTATCTCACTTAATTCTTACCCTTGGAGGTAGATAGGGTTATCTCAACCCTTACCAAGGATGAGGAAACCGAAGCTCTTGCCCCAAAGCCTCACAACTCAGGTTGCAAGAACCTGTCTTGTTTCTTTTTGTCTCAGTCTTCGACGCAGTCCGGCATTTCTGCTCTCCAACTACAATATATTGCTTCTCGTTTATTAAGTTTTTTTTTTTTTCTTTAAGGCTTTTGCCATAGGGTGCGTGTGCTTGCCAGGGAGACAGAAGGAGGGAGAGTGAGAACCACCCCCAGGGAGAACGGCTACACCACAATCCCTTCTTCATTCTCCTCTTGGGATCTTGGGCACGCATGCACACACGCCTGGTGTGATTTTCAAGTTGCTGGGTCTGGGACTTGAACCGTGGTCGGCCATGGGGGAGCCCAGCACTTCAATCACCATACCACCTCCTGGCTCCATCATTTAAACATATTTATCAGCAAATACTTAAAGTTTTGAACAACAGAAAATGATTTAGTTTTCCTTTTTAATGGCTTGGTATATCGGGTTTCTACGTGGAATACTAAACTCATGTTTCTTGCCAAACATAGTCTTTGCCAACTGAATCTAAGATGCCACATTTTAGAAACTGACATATCTGGGGACTAGCAGATGACATAATGGTTACATCACTGGACTCTCACGTAGCTGACCATGGTTCGAGTCCCGGACCTGGTGGCTTAAAACTCACACTAGGCACATGTGCAACAAACATCCTGAGAGGAGACTGGAGGAGAAGGGATTGCTGTGGCCATGGAATAGGGCAATTTCTCTCTCTCTGTCTCTGTCTCTCTGGTGAGTGCACACACCCTATAGCAAACATCTCTCTTAAAAAATAAAAAGAAATTGCATAACAATGGTTTTACAGAATTGCTTGCTAATTAAAAAAAAATAAAGTCATGACCAGTGAACAGAGAAAAGGCTCTCTGCAGAACTAAATACCGCCTGGCGGCTTCCAAGAAACAGGCCTGACAGGAGGTCCTGCTTCAGTAGAGGAGCGTGGGGCAGTGTCTCCGCGCCCCGTCAGATGGAGCTGGCTCCCCTGGCTGGGTTCATGCCAGGCCCGGCGGGGTCAGGGCCCAGTGCGGCTCACCTTGCAGGAGAATCCTGGTCTCTGACTCGGTGTCCGGGACCCGGTCACTGAGGTCTGCGGGCTGCACTTCCTCCCTCTGCACTCCCTCTGCAGGGGTTGGGGGAGGCATCAATGGCACCAGTCCCTGCCACCCCTTCCCTGACCAGACAGACAGAGAGACAGAAAGCGAGAAATCACCCCCCAGGGGGGATGGCCACGCCGCAATCCCTTCTCCTCCATTCTCCTCTCGGGATCTTGGGCACGCACGCACATGTGCCTGGTGTGATTTTAAGCCACCAAGTCTGGGATGAGAACCGTGGTCGACTACGTGGGAGTCCAACGACATAGCCATTACGCTAACTGCTGGTTCCCATAGTATCTCACTTAATTCTTACCCTTGGAGGTAGATAGGGTTATCTCAACCCTTACCAAGGATGAGGAAACCGAAGCTCTTGCCCCAAAGCCTCACAACTCAGGTTGCAAGAACCTGTCTTGTTTCTTTTTGTCTCAGTCTTCGACGCAGTCCGGCATTTCTGCTCTCCAACTACAATATATTGCTTCTCGTTTATTAAGTTTTTTTTTTTTTCTTTAAGGCTTTTGCCATAGGGTGCGTGTGCTTGCCAGGGAGACAGAAGGAGGGAGAGTGAGAACCACCCCCAGGGAGAACGGCTACACCACAATCCCTTCTTCATTCTCCTCTTGGGATCTTGGGCACGCATGCACACACGCCTGGTGTGATTTTCAAGTTGCTGGGTCTGGGACTTGAACCGTGGTCGGCCATGGGGGAGCCCAGCACTTCAATCACCATACCACCTCCTGGCTCCATCATTTAAACATATTTATCAGCAAATACTTAAAGTTTTGAACAACAGAAAATGATTTAGTTTTCCTTTTTAATGGCTTGGTATATCGGGTTTCTACGTGGAATACTAAACTCATGTTTCTTGCCAAACATAGTCTTTGCCAACTGAATCTAAGATGCCACATTTTAGAAACTGACATATCTGGGGACTAGCAGATGACATAATGGTTACATCACTGGACTCTCACGTAGCTGACCATGGTTCGAGTCCCGGACCTGGTGGCTTAAAACTCACACTAGGCACATGTGCAACAAACATCCTGAGAGGAGACTGGAGGAGAAGGGATTGCTGTGGCCATGGAATAGGGCAATTTCTCTCTCTCTGTCTCTGTCTCTCTGGTGAGTGCACACACCCTATAGCAAACATCTCTCTTAAAAAATAAAAAGAAATTGCATAACAATGGTTTTACAGAATTGCTTGCTAATTAAAAAAAAATAAAGTCATGACCAGTGAACAGAGAAAAGGCTCTCTGCAGAACTAAATACCGCCTGGCGGCTTCCAAGAAACAGGCCTGACAGGAGGTCCTGCTTCAGTAGAGGAGCGTGGGGCAGTGTCTCCGCGCCCCGTCAGATGGAGCTGGCTCCCCTGGCTGGGTTCATGCCAGGCCCGGCGGGGTCAGGGCCCAGTGCGGCTCACCTTGCAGGAGAATCCTGGTCTCTGACTCGGTGTCCGGGACCCGGTCACTGAGGTCTGCGGGCTGCACTTCCTCCCTCTGCACTCCCTCTGCAGGGGTTGGGGGAGGCATCAATGGCACCAGTCCCTGCCACCCCTTCCCTGCATCACCCGGCCCAGGTCACGCCCCCAGCCCTGCTCTGCCGCCGGCTTGCCTTTGCCGAGGTGTTCTGGGTCCAGCGTGCGCACGGTCACGGTTTTGTTGACGCGGATTCCTTCCGGCTGTGTGGTGGTGAGGGCAGGCGGAAAAAGGACAGACAGACACACAGGAGGTCAGCAGGGCCCTGCTGTGGGCACGTGGCATGTGAACCTGGCCTCTCCCCCTTCAGCAATGTGACTAGGGGCCTGATTTTCTTTTCACGTTTTTGCCATAGGGTGTATGCCCTCTCCAGGGAGAGACGGAGAGAGAGAAAGTGAGAATTACCCCCAGGGAGACGGCCACACTGCAATCCCTTCTCCTCATTCTCCTCTCGGGGTTTTAGGCACGCACACATGCACATACACCTGGAATGTTCTTCAAGCCCCCAGTTCCAGGACTGGAACCGTGGAGCTGGCCATGTGAGATCCAGCCACTTTAACCATCACATCACCTGCTGACTTGACACTATGGTTCTTTTTAAAAATACTTATTTATTTGTTGATGTACGTATTTGTTATGATTTTCAAGCCACCGGATCCAGGACTTGAACCACGGTCAGCCATGTGGTTCGACTACTATGCCACCTGCTGGCCTGACACTGTGGGTCTTAATGTCTCAGAGCCTGGGTGTCCAGCATGGGGACCAGGAGCCCTCCCAAAGCCCAAGGGGTCGCCGGCGGCCCAAGGACTCACCACGACCTTCAGGGTCTTCTTGACACCGTCACTGATGAAGAAGTTGTAGACAGCAGCCTTGACCTCCACCTCCTGCAGGCCAATCTTCAGGGGCACCAGGGTATACGGCACCGACACCGAGGACTTGGGCGGGATCTCCACCGTCTGCTGGTGCCGCTTCTTGGCAGTGGCCATGCTGCAGAAGGCGGGGTTGTGCAGCAGCTCCACTCTCACCTACCGGTGAGAGAGCCGGTCAGGCAGCTCTGCGCTGGGCGACCCCACCCAGCCCCTGTGCGCCCCCGGAGCCCACCTTGAGCGGCTCGTTCTCCCGGTAGTTGTAGAGGACTGCCCGGATTTCCACCTGCTCGTTGCGGACCACGGAGTAGGGCAGCCGCAGGTCGATGAAGAAGTCCTGCATCACCGTGACCTCGTAGGGGTCGGCCACGCAGATGCCTGGCCGGGCAGGGACAGGGCACCCATGTCAAGGGCAGGCAGAGGGGTGGGCAGGGATAAGGCGTGGCGGCTCTGTTTTATTATTATTATTTGAAGAATTATGTATTTATTGGGGCTGGCAGGTGGCATGGTGGTGAAGGTGCTGGACTCCCACATGGTCAACTGTGGTTCGAATCCTGGACCTGGCAGCTTGCTTTCTCACTTTTCCTCTCTTTCTCTCGCTCTATCCCTCTCTGTCAAATATAAATAAATAAATAAATAACATTAAATAAAATAATTCTCAAAATATAGTGACAAATTCAGGGGCCAGCAGGTGGTGTGGTGGTTGAGGTATTGGACTCCCCCATGGTTGAGCATGGTTCAAATCTCAGACCTGGTGGCTTGCATTTTCACTTTCCTTCTCTTTTTATCTCTCTCTCTCTGGTGAGGACACAGCAAATTTTCAAAAAGTAATAATAATACATAAAATTGTATTAATAATTTTTTAAAATTCTAAATGACAGGCATAAATGGGATTTGTTTTTGTTGTTTTGTGTGATAGTGTGAGTGCACTCAGCAGCAAGAGGGAGAGAGAGAGAGAAATCACCTCCCCAAGAAGGATGGCCTTGCTGCAATCCCTTCTCCAATCTCTTGTTGGGATTTTGGACATTCACATACACACCCCTGTGTGATTTTTTTTAAGCCTCTGTGTCCAGGACTCAAACTGTGAAGCTGGTCATGTGGGGTCCAGCACCCTAACCTCCATGCCACTTGCTGGCCTGGAATTAGTACTTTATTTTTTCCAAATAATTTTTATTTGTTTGTTATTGTTATTTTTAATGTTGCAGTAGTGCACATGCACTTAGCAGAGAGAGACAGACACAGAGACAGAGACAGAAAGGGAGAAAGCGAGAAAGCAAGCAATGTGATTTCCCAGTGACTGTGTCCAGGGTTCAAACTGCGGTCGGCCATGTGGGAGTTCAACGCCTTAGCCATCTCGCCACAGTTAGTACTTTGAGTGGTTCCAGTTCTTTTCAGCGTGCAGCTCCTAGCTGATGAGCAGGGAGGAGGAGGGCACGCAAAGGGTCTCAGAGTACACCTACTTCCCCAGACTGATCTGCGAGTCCGACACGGCGGCTCCGAGCGCCGGCAAATACTGACCGCTCGGGCTGTGGCTCGTGGGTGAGAACTGCGTTTCTACTTTTCTGTAAATCGATTTCATTAGACTCAGACGTGAACTTAAAGCTGACGCTCACAGTGCAAACCCCAGCCCCGCCAACTTGTACACTTTAAAAAGTGACTTTTAGAGTATATGAATTAAATTTCCCTTCTTTTTTTTTTCCCACCATGGGCACCTGTGTTTGCAGGAGAGAGGGAGAGAGGGAGAGAGAGAGAGAGAGAGAGAGAGGGAGAGAGAGAGAGAGAGAGAAAGTGGGAAAGCACTCTGAGGAGGAGGATGGCCACAATCCCTCGTCCTCCATTCTCTTCTTGGGAGTTTGGGCACACACACACATACACCCGGCATTTTTCTTTTCTTTTCTTTTTTTTTTTTAAAGAGTTTTGCTATAGAGCATGTGTGCTTGCCAGAGAGACAGAGAGAAAGAAAGCAAGAAATCAACCCCAGGGGGGGATGGCCAAGCGGCAGCCCCTTCTCTTCCATTCTCCTCTCTGGACCTTGGGCATGCATGCACATACACCCACTGTGAGTTTAAGCTGCCAGGTCCAGGATTTGAACCACGGTTGACTACATGGGAGTCCAGTGACGTAACCATTATGCCATTTGCTGGTCCGTCACTCGGCATTTTTCAAGCTGCCAGCTGGCTTTGTTTTTGATTTGGTTTTGTCTTCCAGCAGCCCCCCCCCCCCCCCCCCCCCCGCAGCCTGGCAGGGGCAGAGCGTAAGGGCCCGAGGGACAGAGGGTCCGTCCACTGGGTCCTGACCAGGGCAGGACCGTCCCTTACCCTTCTTGTCCGACAAGCTCACAGCCAGAATCTCCCAGGTGGTGATGGAGTCTTTCAAAAACACGTTCATGGTCTTGGTGGAGATTCTGTGTGGCGGGGGGAGGTCAGAGCATTAGCAGAGACCTGGGGTGGAGGGGTCCCAAGGCACTGGAAGGGAACTCGGCTCCTGACAGTCCTAGGTTGGGCTGTGGGGTGCTAGAGCGATTCTCAACAGGACAGGAGGTGGCGGGCAAGATGGCCAGGCAGGGCGGTGGTGGGCGCTGGCGTGGGGTGAGCTGACGGGGGAACCGCAGCCTCACCCATTCTTCTCTGGCTCCTTGAGTTCCTCTATGGTCCACAGCCAACTCTCTGGGAACTGGCTTCGGGAAATGATGTCTTCTTCTGGGATGATTTCGTCATCCAGGTCACCTGAGCGGGGTTACGATCTGGGTTTAGAACAGACCCGTTACCTCGACTTTCTTCTTACAACCTAGGACTATCTCCGCCCTGGGTGGATTCCTAGCTGTGAAACGCACCCAGGGCTGCAGATGACTCCCCAGGAGCACCGAGCCCATGTGCTCTCTGGGTGCCCTTTTCTACATTAAGAAGAAAATAAACAGGGAACCAGCAGCCGGCTGGTCAGTAAGGCGCTGGATTCCCACATGGCCACCCATGGTTTGAGTCCCAGACTGGATGCCTTGAAACTCACACCGGGCGTGTGTGCGTACGTGCCCAAAATCCCGAGAGGAGAATGGAGGAGAAGGGATTGTGGCGTGGCCATCCCCCTGGGGGTGATTTCTCGCTTTAACTCTCTCTGTCTCTCTCCTAGCAAGTGCATGCACCCTGTAGCAAAAAACTAAAAATAAATAAATAAAAAAGGCCAGCCCCATGGCCTGGTGGTTAAGGGAGCTGGATCCCCCATGGCCGACTGTGGTTCGAAACCTGGCCTAGCAGTTTGAAAAACCATGCCAGGCATATATGCATGCATGCTCGAAGCCTCTACAGGATGGAGAAATGGAGAAAGAGCTGTGGGGTGACCATAGCCCACTAAGGGGGTGCTTTCTCCTTCTTCCCCTTTCTCTTGCTCTCTCTGGCCAGCATGTAAGCCTTTGACAATTCAAAATATACAATTAAAAAAAAATCAATGAATAAACATTGCCTATTAATTCATCAATTGGGCATTTCTTTTGTAAAAAAAAATTTTTTAGAGAGAGAGATTTTTGCTATAGGGCACCTGTGCTCACTGGAGAGACAGAAAGTGAGAAATCACACCCCTCCAGGGGGGATGGCCATGCCTCAAATCTCTGCTCCTCCATTCTCCTCTCGGGATCATGGGCCACGCATGCACATGTGTCTGGTGTGAGTTTTAAGCCACCGGGTCTGGAACTTGAACTGCAGTCGACTACATGGGAGTCCAGCGGCGTAACCATTATGCCACCTGCTGGCCCCAACTGGGGCATTTCTCTTTGCAAGGCAGCACCGATCTCTTTTCTTTGGCCAAGGGATACATAGGACCCATCCCAGCCTCAACAGTGACAGCGTGGCCAGTCCAGCACCTAGAACTTTCCCTTGGTCATGGACGGCCTGGGCACCGGCAGCATCAACCTTCAGGTTGATGGACAGGGCTGGGAAGACCAGGAAATGCTCTTGCCCTGGGCAGAGCCATCAGACTAGGTCCTTGTCCTCCCTCAGGCCTGGATGGCCTGGCTCCTATCGAAAGGACTCCTTTATCTTCCAGACGGGGCATCCTCCCTCTTAAACGGAGACCTCCTCCCCCCAAGGTGGGGCATCGGCCCTTCTCAGACTTGCTCCCGGGACCTGGGTCTTTCTGTCCCTCGGGGGAGGTCTGCATCACCTCTAGATGGGGCCTTGTTCCTCCCGCCAGGGTGTCCTCCCCTCCCAGACAGGGCTCTCTACTCCTCAGATGGAGGCTCCTCCCTGGCCGGGGCTCCCGCGTCCTGGTGGACTCACTCCTGGCCAGGCCCAGGGGCTTGTCGCGCTGGTGCTGCTGGCGCAGCTCGGTGATGTAGGTGCAGCAGTCCAGGAAGGCCTTCACGCATGCCTGGTCCAGGATGACGAAGCGCGCCCGGCGCTCGCAGGAGAACTGCATGGGGTTGTCGCGCATGCCGTCCTCACAGCACTTGCGCAGCTCCTTGTCGCTGTACTGGCCGGCTGCGGGACACGGCCCCGTCAGACGGCGGGAGGGACAAGGAGACCCTGGGGGGACTTCCGTGGCCCGGTCTTGGGCTCCTAATAAGTCAGGCTGGGACCCCGCACGGGCCAGGTCTGAGTGGGGATGCGGGGGTGGCGGGGGCGTGTGTGTGCCCACCTTTGTCCATCCTCTTCTCCATCAGCTCCCTCCTCCAGCAGCGGCACGGAGCGGCGACGGCGGGTGGCGGGTTTCGGGCACTCGAGGGCTGAGGGGCAGGGAGACCAAGAACAGGACAGATGAAGCGCAGGCTACGCGGCCTCGGTCGGCTCTTGGCTATGGCTGTTAGGTAGGGGTGTCACTGCTGCCCTCCGACCAAACAGAGGCTCAAAGAGGAGATTCGCTGATGGGTGGTGGAGGCAGGACTTGAACCCAAGTCTTCCGAACCCAGAACCTCTCTCGCTGTCAGCATTGAGAGGTGGAACTCTGGCCTCCATCCTCACCTGACCTCTGGGCGGTCTGCAGGCCTTTGTTGGACTGGAAGGACAGACCCGCGTCCGTGAAGACACCCGCGTAGTCCTTGCCGCTGCCCGGGGTGCAGCCGATGTCCGCCTTCTCCACCACGTTCCAGATCTGTGGGGCGGAGTGGGGATGGCCAGGGTGGAGGGAGGCCAGGCCACGGCTGCTTCCTCCGAATGGAGTCACACACCCTTCCCCAGGTCTCCACCCAGCCCCCACCCCCGTGCCCCCCGTGCCCCCCGTGCCCTGCCCGTGCAACTACTGCTCCCGTCTCCACCGAAGCCCACTCCCCTCCACCCCTTCCTTCCCCATTCTCCTCCATCTTCACCACGACGCCAGCCCCTTCTCGGCGCTATTCATAACCCCGCCTCTCCACTTCTTCACGCACCCTCAACCCCACTCCCAAGCTGCTCCCTTCAACCCCCAGCACCTGCACCCTTACCCCGCTCTCTGCCCAACCCCACTCTCATCTCCGCGCCAGCTCCTTCCCACCCCATTCCCAACTCCAGTCCGTCTCCACTCCCAAGCATATTTGCGACGGTTCAGGTCCCCAGATTCAGGTGTCGAGATCGGACTGTGAATGCAGAAGACTTAGTGCCTTCCCTGTCAAAGGGGGCCTTTGGGGGTGACGAAGTGACTCGGGCAGAGCCCCCACCATCGACTCCTGGTGGGTTTAAGAATTATTTTCAATTAACTTTACTTATTATCATCATTATTTTATTTTATTTTTTTATTTGAGAGATAGAGAGAGAGGGAAAGTGAGAAACCATGCCACCAGGTGTGGGACTCAAACTATGGTTGGCCATGTGGGAGTCCAGCGCCCTCAACCACCACGCCACCTGCCGGCCCCTCCTGGTGGGTTTATAAGAAGAGGGAGGGAGACCAGAACAGAGACCCGGGTGGACACAGGTGCTCTGACCTGCTCTTGCCCCATGATGTAATGTCTTGGGACCAGTGACAGCTCCATCAGATCCCTGGATGTTGGACCTTAAAACTATGTGTTTGGAGGGACCAGCAGTTAGCATAATGGTTATGTTGCTGGACTCCCGCGTAGTCAACTGCGGTTCGCGTCTCGGACCTGGTGGCTTGAAACTCACACCAGGCGCGTGTGCATGCGTGCCCAAGATCCCGAGAGGAGAATGGAGGAGAAGGGATTGCGGCATGGCCATCCCTCCTGGGGGATGTTTCTCACTTTCTATCTCTCTATCTCTCTCTGTCTTTCTTTCTTTTTTTTAAATTTTTAAAAAATTTTATTATCATTATAATCTTCTTTATATTACATTGGATTACATATAACTTTACAGTGTATTACATTGCTTTTTCAAAATCTCTCCATCTTTCTGGCAAGCGCACGTGCCCTGTAGCAAAAAACCAAAAAACAAAACCCAAAAAACCAAAAACCAAAAAACTGTGCTGAATACACACCTATTCTCTCTCTTTCTTAAAAAAAATTCTTTTTTTAAAAAAAGAATTATTTAGGGATCAGCAGATGGCATAGTGGTTACGTCACTGGACTCTCACATGGCCAGCTGTGATTCGAGTCCCAGACTTGGAGGCCTGAAGCTCATGCCAGGCCCATGTGCGTGCATGCGTGCCCAAGATCCTGGGAGGAGAATGGAAGAGAAAGGCTTGCAGCCTGGCCATCCCCCTGGGGGGTGGGGTAATTTCTCACTTTCCTTCTCACTGTTTCTGTCTCTCTCTTTCCAGTGAGTGCATGTGCCCTAAGGCAAAACCTCTACCCCCCCCCAATTATTTATTTAGTTATAATTCTTATTTTTAAATTTGCTCTAGGGCATATGTACTCACCAGGGAGAGACAGAGAGAAAAAGTGAGAAAACCAGCCGCACGGTCTGGAACTCGAACTGCAGTCATGTGGGAGTCCACTGCCTTAACCACTATGCCACCTGCTGGCTCCAACTCCTATTCTCTTAAATGGCCCAGATTCTGGCATTTTCTCTTATGACAACAGAACGGACTCGAACACCCTCTGCAGCCCACTACCATTCCCGGCGTGTCCCAATCCCATTCCTGATCCCGTCTCCCTTCTTCCAAATCCATTTGCAGTCCTGCCCTCTGCCAAGTCTGGGCAGCCCCACCTCCACCCTCACCCCCAGCCCCAAGCCTTCCACCATGGCTCACTCCCAAGCAGTGAGGTCCCTAGAGCCACGCCCACATCAACACCACCCATCTCAACCTCAGTCCCATCCACCCACCTGCCCTCTTCCACTCCAGCCCAGCCCTCTGCTGTCTCTTCCGGTCTCCTCCGACCTCGACTTCCTGTCTCGTCCGAGCTCGACTTCCGGTCTTCAACTAGTCCAAACCGTTGCCCTCTGTTCCCATCCCACCTGACCCCAAGCCCATCCACCATTTTTTAAAAGAATTATTTATTTTTATTTATCATCATTATTTTTTTAACTGGCTACAGGGCACATGTACTCCCCAGAGTGAGAGAGAGAGAGAGAGAGAGAGAAAGAGAGAGAGAACAAGCCACCAGATCCAGGACTTGAACTATAGTCAGCCATCTGAGAGTCCAATATCTTAACCATCATGCCACCTGCTAGCTCCATCCACTATTTTCTCTTTTTTGGGGGGAGGGAGTAATTAATTAATTATTTATTTCTATTTGTTATTATTATTGGACCAGAGAGAGACAGAGAGAGAAAGGGAAAGTGAGGAAGCAAGCTGCCAGGTCTGGGACTTGAACCGTGGTCAACCCTGTGGGAGTCCAGCACCTTCATCACTTTGCCACCATCTTCTTACCCCGCCTAGAGGACGCAGGCACGTACCTTGCTTTGAGTCAGCTTGTTCTTCTTATTCAGCACGAACACGCCCTTGTCCACGGCCACCAGCCCCACGCGGGCCCCCCGGTTCCCTTCTATCTTGAGGGTCATCTGCTGCCCAGGTAGGTGCTTTCTCTCGTCCTTCCCGCCGCCTTTGACCACCAGCTGCAGGAGGGTGGGGAGGCAGGAAGGGGCTGTCAGCTCCCCAGGGTTGCCCAGGACAGACGTGGACGTAGGATGGACAGAAAGGAGAGAGAGGTGGAGAGAGACGGGGGCGAGACGCATACCGTGCCCACACAGGAGTCCTTGACGTCCACCCACACAGAGTCGGCCACCACCTCTCTCTGGCCGTTGGCACCGATCATGGTGTAATAAGCCACCAGGCGGAAAGAGGGGATGAAGTCTGTCGTGATGGTCAGAGGCATCACCACCAGGTCTTGGCCTCGCTCGCGCACCTGCCGCCCTGCCTTCAGCAGCTTGCCCTTGTTCATGATCTGGGGGACGGACGGGCAGAAGGACCGGGAGGATGAGAAGGTGGCTGAGAGGGGACATCCAGGGCCGGGGAGGGGCTAAGGGTGCCCGCTGGCCACGGACCATGTAGGTGTAGTAGCCGATCTTGGCCTCCTGGCCAGGGTCCGTTCGCAAGTGGAAGTTGATGTTGATGGAGTCCCCTGGCTTGAGCTCGGTGCGCTGCACGGACAGGTGGAGGTAGTTGTTGGAGTTGCCCATCGTGCTGTAGGGCTGAGCCTGCATCGTGTTGGTGGCCTGCCGTGCATCCAGAATACCTTCCTTCATGGTGCGCACCTGGGCGAGGAAAGAGAAGTGCATGTTGGTCCCACGGAGATACCCACGTGCTATTCCGTGAGACCTGGACTGCCTTTCGTCGCAAAGGGGACTTTGCAGGTGGTGTTGTTAGGGATCTCGAGATGGGGCGATTATCCTGCCTGGTCCAGGTGGCCTGAGGTACCCATAAAGGTCCTTCCTTACTAGAGGGAGACAGAGGAGGTAGGGGAGGTGACGAGGAGGAGAGGGAGAGAGGAGAGAGATGGATGTGTAGATGCCGCACTGCCAGGAGCCCAGGAATGCAGGCAGCCCCTGACACTGGAAAAGGAGGGGAATAGGTTCTCTCCTAGAGCTTCCGGAAGGGGAGCTCTGCGCCCCCTGCCCACACCTTGCTTTTAGGACTCTGCCCTCCGGAACAGTAAACGCCTAGATTCATGTCGAAGTTACCGAGCTCATAGTCATTTGTCATAGAGTCTCTAGGGGACTCAGATGCATGCCCAGCTCAGGAGCAGGAGGGACCCCCGAGGACATCCGTGGGGTGCACATGAGCGACACGACACCAGGGCAACACGGCTGAGTTCACGGAAGCCAGGAGAACTGAGCCCACCACTCAGCCATGGACTCCTCATACAGAGCACAGAGCTCCCCCTTGTAGGATTGGCTCCTCCCCGGGAGAGGCAGGGCTGCCGGGGTGGAGTACCCAGCCATGGGAGCACAAGACCCCTGATTACCTAAATGTAGACCCCTCTATGAAGACCACAGGGCTCCCTTATGCAAATGAATGGAACTCACTATGCAAATGAAGGACCCTATTATGCAAATGAATGGATTCTTTATGCAAATACAGGACCTAACTCTATGTACAGTATAGGACTCTCCTATGCAAATAAATGGACTCTTTATGCAAATAAGGACCTTTGTGCAAACTAGGGGCTCTTTATGCAAATGAAGGGACCTCACCATGCACGCGCCAGGTACGACCTCCTATGCAAACAGCAGGGCCCCTTCTACGCATGGTCGGACCCCAGCGTATGTCTTCCTGGTGGTGGGGCCTGGACTCACCGTGATGGACAGGGGCTGCCGGCTGTTGGGCGTGTTGATGCTCAGCTTGGCCACACCATCTTCCCGGGTCAGAGACTGCACGTCTCCGGAGCCCCGGGTTCCCACCGGCACGTGGCGGGCTGGGGAGCCATCGGGGTTGGTCACGAACACCTGTGCGTGGTGGGGTGGAGGTGGAGAGGGTGAGCAGGCCTCAGCGGCACTGGCCAGCACTCCAGGTGGGGCAGTGGGGCCGCGCCCTGGGTCTCACCATGAGGTCAAAGGGCATGGCTGGCTTGAAGTACTTGGGCGTCTTGGTGAAGTGGATCTGGTAGGGGGAGGTCACGATGGGGATCCCACTGTACTCTGCTTCCACCATGTCGCTACCTGTGGGGACCAGCCGTGAGGGTCAGCCCGGGGCCCCCTGAGGACTGCCCTCCTCCCCTTGGCTGGGACAAGCTGGAGGCCCAGGTCTCCTCACCTGAGTGCAGGATGACAGTGACAGAGACGTACAGGGACTTGCCCACCAGGGCCATGGGCTCTGAGGGACTCACGCCTTCCAGCAGCACCTTCCGGCTCAGCACGGCCTCCCCGGAGCCATCCTCGATCTGCGGGAGGAGGAGGGGGACTCAGAGGAGGGAGGGGAGCGGGGCAGGGCATGGCGAAGGGGGCCTCAGAAGGGCCATCTGTCAGGTACCACGACGCGGGTGAGGGACTGGGCCAGCGAGATCCTCTGGTTGCCGTCCTGGACCCCGAAGATGACGAAGGCAGTCCCATCCACGTTCTTTCCATACAAGAACCTGCGAGGCAGGGATGGTTTCAGGTCCCCGCTTGGAGGGTGGGGAGGGCTGCACCTCTCGGCTTCTGCAGCGGCCGAAGATCCAGAGCCCCCGGTCTCCCCAGCCCTCACCTGCCCCTCACCTTGTCTCAACTTGGCCCTCACCTGGCTCCTCATCTGGCCCTCACCTGCCCCTCACCTGCTCCCCACCTGGTCCTTATCTGGTCCTTCACCTGGCCCACATCTGGCCCCTCACCTGGCCCCTCACCTGGCCCTCATCTGGCCCTACACCTGGCCAGCTCACCTGGTCCTTCATCTGGCCCTACACCTGGCCCACATCTGGCCCCTCACCTGGCCGCCGGCCCCCGCCCCGCCCACCCCCCCCGGTCCCTCATCTGGCCCTCATCTGGCCCCTCACCTGGCCCCTCACCTGGCCCCTCACCTGGCCCCTCACCTGGCCCTCACCTGACCCTCACCTGGCCCTCACCTGGTCCTTCATCTGGCCCTCACTTGGCCCTCACCTGACCCTCACCTGACCCTCACCTGGCCCTCATCTGGCTCTCACCTGGCCCTCACCTAGCCCTCACCTGGTCCTTCACCTGACCTTCACCTGACCCTCACCTGACCCTCATCTGGTCCTTCACCTGACCCTCACCTGGTCCTCACCTGGCCCTTCACCTGACCCTCACCTGACCCTCATCTGGTCCCTCACCTGGCCCTCACCTGGTCCTTCACCTGACCCTCACCTGGCCCTCACCTGGTCCTCCCCCTGACCCTCACCTGGCCCTCACCTGGTCCTCACCTGGCCCTTCACCTGACCCTCACCTGACCCTCATCTGGTCCTTCACCTGACCCTCACCTGGTCCTCACCTGGCCCTTCACCTGACCCTCACCTGACCCTCATCTGGTCCCTCACCTGGCCCTCATCTGGTCCTTCACCTGACCCTCACCTGGCCCTCACCTGGTCCTTCACCTGACCCTCACCTGGCCCTCACCTGGTCCTTCACCTGACCCTTACCTGGCCCTTCACCTGGTCCTTCACTTGGCCCTTGCCTGGGCCTCACCTGGTCCTTCACCTGGCCCTCATCTGTTCTCTTACCTGACTCTCACCTGTCCCTCACCTGACCCACACCTGGCCCTTCACCCGATCCTCACCTGGCCCTTCACTTAGCCCCTCACCTGTCTCTCACCTGGTCCTCACCTGACCCATCACCTGTCCCTCACCTGGCCCTTCACCTGGCCCTCACCTGTCCTCTCACCTGTCCCTCTCCTGGTCCCACCTTGGCCCCTCACCTGGCCATGATGGAGACCTCCAGGCCTTTTGGGTCATCGATGTAGTAGAATTTCTCTGCAGGCTCCAGGGTGACCTCGAAACTGGGCAGCACTGGGGAGAGAGCCGGTGTTGGTGGGGTGGGGTGGGGCTTCAGGGTCCCCCCTCTCTGACCGCACTCCTTCCCCCGGCCCCTCCTGTCTCACCGTACTCCTTCACCTCGAACTCCGCGAAGAACACCTGCTGTGGCGCGTGCTCGTAGTAGGCGCTGATCTTCCACTGCCCCATGCTGCAGGGAGGGCGGGTGAGGGATCTGGCCGGGCCTCACAGCCCCCTCCCTCTCCTGGGACAGGGGAGCCCTGAACCCCCTCCGGACAGCCTGACATACTTGACCAACTCTGGAATGTTCCAAGACAGGGGCAAGATGCCGAACTGGTTGTGAGAAGACAAGGAGTCTCGCTTGATGGGGACGCCATCGGGGGTCTGGAAAGAGACGGGAACACATGTGGGGTAAACTGGGTCTTCTGAGTGTTCCATGCCTGGACACCCTCTTTGCACCGTGTCTGCAGGGATGGTGATTAAGCACATGAAGCCGAGTCAGACAACCGAGGTTCAAATCCCTTTTGTGCCACTTATACACTGTGTGATCTCGGGCAGGTTACTTGACCTCTCTGTGCTTAATGTGCTTATCTGGAAAAAAGGAGCTAATATTGGCACCTGCCTCACTGGCTTGGCACATAGTTCATAGAAGCAAAAAATTATGATCCGAATGTTAATAACGAGCTCCTCCCCTCCTTCCTTCCTTTTTCTTCCTTCCAGAAAGTTTTTATTAAACCCTAGAATAAGCCAGGTACTATGCTGGGGTTAGGTGATAAGAGTGTGAACAAACAGATAACAATCTCCCTTCCTGTGTGGAACCTGGCTTCAATGAAGGGTGGGGTGGAGGGAGGGGCAGGTAATAAATGAATGAATCCTATTTACAGGAGGTGCAGGCAGGCAGGCGGGAGCGAGGTGTGCGTGTGTGTGTGTGTGTGTGTGTGTGCATGTGCGCATGCGTGTGTGTCTGGAGTGGCAGAGGGATTTGCAACTTCATAGGGTGTTCCGGGAGGCCTCGCTATAAAAGTGGAAAGTGGGGACATTCGGGCCAAGGAGGACAGAGGAAGGAGGCAGAAGTGTAGCTCTTTGGAGGAAGAGGGTTTTCCGGGCAGAGGGTACAGTCTGTGTAAAGGCCCTGGGGCAGCTCCACGCCTGATGTGTTGGAAGAATAACCAGGAGGCTTGTGTGGCTGGAGAAGGGAGAGTGAGGAGGACGTGAGGAAGGGGAGGAGGGGAGAGGACACAGCAGATTGTGTAGGGCCTGGTAGGCTGCAGGGAGGAATGGGCTTTGACCCTGAAGGAAGTGGGAGCCCTGGAGGGCTGTGGGCAGAGAAGGGCCAGCCCCTGACTCAGGGCTCACAGGTGCCCCTGGCTGCTGCAGGTGGGATAGACCACATAGAATGATTTCATGCCAGTCTTCAGGTGAGGAAACTGAGGCTCAGGGAGGCGACAAGGACAGGGGTCTGTCTAAGGAGAACCCACAGCCACTGAGCGCTCCAGGTAGCCCCCTTGGGTCTCCATCCTGTCTCCAGGTCTGTCTCTGTTTGCATCTCTGCCTATCCCACTGCCCTGGATCTGTCTCTCTCTATCTCTTTGTCTCTCCCGCAGGCTCTGCCCTCGCTGTGCCTGGGGTCCCAGCTGGCGGGTACCTCGATGCTGACGATAACGGTCCGGCCCACGGGCAGCAGCTTGTGGTCCACGGTGAAGATGCGATAGAGAACTGTGGGGCAGAGGGACAGACAGGGCGGGCCTGGTGAGACCCTGGCCCTTCTGCACCCCTGCCTGGCGCTCTGCAGCAGCCCGCCGCCCCTCACCTGTGGAGCCGGGGGTGTAGATGGTCTTGTCCGTCTGGATGAAGAGGTACCCGCTCTGAAGGCTGACCAGAACCACCTTCTCCACCGGGACGTTCCCGAAGTTCGCCTGGACGGTCACGTACTTGTTCCCCTTTTCCACCTTGAACTCATCATTGGCTGGGATCTAGGCACAGGCCAGGGGCGCGTTAGGGGCTTTGCTCCAGGGCCCTGGGCCCACTGGCTAGCCTCAGGTCCCTAGGACCACCTGCCTGCCCCTCACTCCTGGTCTCTCAGGTTAACTCAGTTCTGGGTGGGGAGGAGAGAGAGGAGGAGGGAGGCAGAGAGGGGGAGGGTGGTATAAGGGGAGGGTCTCAGAAAGAGATTGCTGGCTAATGGGGGAGGAGACTTGGAAAGGAAGGGGAGGGGCTTACAGGGGGCCAGGCTCAGAAAGGGGAGGAGACTTGGAAGGGGAGGGGCTTACAGGGGGAGGAGACTGGAGGGGCCAGGCTCAGAAAGGGGAGGAGATCTGGAAGGGGAGGGGCTTACAAGGGGAGGGGACTGAGGGTGGGTCTCAGAAAGGGGAGGAGACTTGGAAGGGGTGAGGCTTACAGGGGGAGGAGACTGGGGGGGCCAGGCTCATAAAGGGGAGGAGACTTGGAAGGGGAGGGGCTTACAGGGGGAGGAGACAGGGAGGCCAGGCTCAGAAAGGGGAGGAGACTTGGAAGGGGAGGGGCTCACAAGGGGAGGGGATTGAGGGTGGGTCTCAGAAAGGGGAGGGGCTTACAAGGGGAGGGGACTGAGGGTGGGTCTCAGAAAGGGGTGGAGACTTGGAAGGGGTGGGGCGCATAAGACGAGGCCGCAGAGGCTGGGGCCAAAGGTCAGCGGCTAGTCTGTGCCCACCTTGACGGTGACGGTGCTCAGGTGGCCGTTGGCAGCCGTCAGCATGGTCTTCTCACTGGATAGCACTTGCTTCTTTTTAGGGAAGTCAGAGACGGTGACCGTGACCTCAATGTCCCCTTGTGCTTGGTGAGCCTCCACCACCACCATCTCCTCGTTCTCCAGCCGCAGGACATTGGGGGTGATTATGGAGTACCTGCCCGAGAGCAGAGTGGTCATCCCAAGGCCCCAGGACTCCCGCCATCCTGGGTCAGTGCCTGGCGGCGCCTCTGTTCCCAGACACCGTCTTCGTCTCTGGTCCTGGAGGGGATCCAGTGACCACTGGGGCACCTGCCAGGCATCGTCTAGATCTGGGTTCCTCCCTGGCACCCCCACAGGGACAAGGTGACAGTCACAGTGACCTCCACCCTCGGCTGGCCAGGACAGTTAGGGACGGGCTGCGGATCCCACCAACCCCAGAAACTCAAACCAGAACCCGGCTATGCCTCCAACTCTCTGAATCCCCAAACCCACTGTCACCTGGACCCACATATGCCCAAAGCTCTAACCCCCCATGTCCAAACACCCCAAATACATAAGTGCCTTAACCCTCCAGCACTCGGAACTACACACATGGGAACTTACATGCACGTGAACCCCTGCACCCCAAGTCCTACAGCATGCCTCAGCCTGAACACCTCAGTCCTATAAATACCACCGACCCCAAACCCTCAGCCCTTCACGAAGCCAGAGTCCTAAAGCTCGGCACCTGTGAACACGGAGACCCATTTATTCCTACCCTGCAAACTCCCCCCGAATCTGCCAAGTCCAAACCTCCAGGCCTCCAAACCATGATCCCTAAGCCCCATGCACCCCCTAAACCTACAGACCCTCCAGTCTATAAACATCCAAGCTCACGATCCCACCATCCCTGGGTTCTGCAAACACCCAGCCCACAGTGAACGCCCCAGCCAGCTAACCCCCAATTCCATGAACACCCTGGGCCCCGGACCCACAAATGCTGAGAAAGCTCCTGCCCTGGAAGCGCCCTTGTTTCCGGGGAGAGTCGTGATTACTCACATTGGATCGGCCAGGGCCAGGGGAAGGGTAGTAGCCAGCAACAGCAGCAGGCGGGGACCTGCAGCTGTCCCCATGGTGCAGGGAGAGTGGGGGACAGACGGACAGAGGGAGAGGATGGGGAGGAGTGAGGGAGCCTCTGGAGGCTGCCTTTTATCTGGCTGCGTCCTTGCCCACACTCTGCCCCCCTCCTCCTTGCGGCCTCTCCCCTCCCTGGGGCTGCCCCAGATTTCTCAATACTGGTTTCCTAAGTTTTTCAATCCCTTGGGCCAACATCTCGCAGGGTGAGTAACCTCTGGGCATGTCCCTCTCCAACAAGTGCCCCCTCCACCCCCGCCCAGAAGCCAGATCAAACTGGGACGGGACCCTTTCTTCAGGCACCTACTTGATTTGAAAGAACATTAAAATCAGAGAAGCCCCTAGCCCAGACACCCGAACATTGTTCCCTGAGCACTTTGGCTGTGTTTACTATGAGTCCGTCTCTGCACTCAGAGCTAGAGCCCTACGTCCAGAGGCTTCCATGCTTAGGGGAAGGAGAGGGAAGAGAAAGGGACAGAGCCCAGCACAGTCATGTCTAGCCCCATGGGGTGTTTTTCCTAGTGGAGAACAACTTTGTTTCTTGGAGAGTCAGGGAAGGCTTCTTGGAAAGAGGGGACTTTTCAGGTGGGCTTTGAAGTATGCATAGGAGTTCAATACCTAGGTGAACTTGCTTTTCAGGGAGAAGGAGACCCTGGAGCTCCCTTCCCTTGCTCTTATCAGGATGCCTGAGTGACTATGGTGATTTTAAAAGGTCATTATTGGGGGCCAGCAGGTGGTGGGGTGGTTAAGGTACTGGACCCCACACGGCTGACCATGGTTTGAGTCTGACACCTGGAAGCTTGCTTTCTCTCTCTCTCTCTCTCATTCTCTCTGTCTCTGTTTCTCTCTTGTGACCATGCATGCCCTGCAGTGAATTTAATAAGTAACCATAATAAATAACTAATTCTTTAAAATTAAAAGTCATCATGGGGGGGGGCAACAGGTAGTATGGCAGTTACTGGATCCTACATGGCCATCTGTGTGGTTCAAATCCTGGACCCAGTAGGTTGAAAAACACACCGGGCACATGCATGCGTGCCTAAAATCCCCAGAGGAGAATGGAGGAGAAGGGATTGTGGCGTGGCCATCCTCTGTGGGGGTGATTTCTCATTTTCCCTCTGTCTCTCGGGGGAGCACGTGCACCCTAAAACAAACTAGCAAAAAGTCCTTGTTGAGAAGGTCTCTGTGTCTAGTTGTGTACCTGTTTTACATCAATATCTTCCTAGGAATCCGTACTTTGAGTTGTATCGGTGTGCGTGTGCATGCGTGTGTGTGTGTGTACAAGTAGATACACTCATAAAGGTGAGCTTTGAAAGGTCCGAATGGGTAGAGAGAAGGGCAGCGTTCTTCCCCTCCCTGGTGCCAATATACACATTTTTCGAACAAATATGAATGCGCTCCTTTTATCTTCCCTGTCTCCCAGGGTTACGGCTTGTTTATTCATGAACCCTATCCTATAAAGACCGTTTCATATCACCCACAGAGCTTCCTCATTCTCACGGCGGGCGGCCGTCCCTGCTACATTGTATGAAACCAACCTGCTTCCTACCGGTGGACTTCCGGGATTGCAAATCATGTGCCCAGTCATCGAAATCTCAACCTCATTGTTTCTTGGCATATCTCTTAGCTGTGATCTTCGGGAAGGTCCCTGACAACCATTCTGAGCCTCAGTCTCCTCCTGCAGAACGGGGTCAGGACAGGATCTACTGATTGGGTCTCTCCATGCATTACTGATCTTGCGAGAGGGCAGCAAATTCCCCTCCGTGGGGAGTGCAGCGACCCCCCCCACCTACCCGCCCACCTGCATGGCGTGAAATGAAGGGTGGCAGGCTTTTCCCCACGGCCTGGGCACTGGCCACGTTGGCATGCTTGCGACCCCCGCCAGCCTCGTGGGTGAAAAGCGGTACTTTGTGTCCCTCTGATGCTCAGCTGCCCAGGCCTAGAAGGTGACGGTTTCAGGCTGCGGGAATGGCATAGGGGTGAGGGTCCTGGTCTCTGCGGAGGTGCAAACCCCACTGAAGGGGTTAATGGGGAGTTTGCTCTGGTTTCCTGTAAACCACGCTTTTTTCCTGGCTGGTCCAGGGGGGGAGGAGGAGGCCTGGAGAATTTGAACAAACCTGGCCTCCGTCTGATTTGATTGCAACATGCTTTCTCTGGAAGAGGAGGAGGAGGGACAACAAAAACACCTGCTTGTTTTCCAGAGTGGGGGTTCAGTTTTCCAAACTGGATACCCCAACTTCCCCCATTGCCTCCTCCATCCCCCCCCTCCCCAGACCACTCCTGGTTTCATTATAGTCTTTTTTTTTTTTTTTAAGGTTTTTGTTTTAGGGTGTGTGCGCTCGCTGGAGAGGAGAGAGACAGAGAGATACAGAGACAGGGAAAGTGGGAAATCACTCCCCAGGGGGATGGCCATGCTGCAATCCCTTCTCCTCCATATTCTTCTCAGGATCTTGGGCACGCATTCCTGGCATGAATTTCAAGTCACTGGGTCTGGGACTTGAACCATAGTAGACCATGTGGGAGTCCAGCCACCTTAATCACTATGTCACCTGCTGGCCCCTTTCAGTATAGTAAAATTTTTTTAAAGAGGTTTTTGCTATAGGGCACGTGTGCTCGCCAGACAGAGTCAGAGAGACAGGAAGCGAGAAATCACCCCCCAGGGGGGATGGTCACGCCGCAATCCCTTCTCCTCCTTCTCCTCTCGGGATCTTGGGCACGCACATACATGCGCCCGGCGTGAGTTTAAGCCACTGGGTCCGGGATGCGAACCGCGGTCGACTATGTGGGAGTCCAGCGACATAGCCATTACGCCAACTGCTGGTCCCTAGTCTTTTTTTTTTTTTAAGGATTTTGTTATAGGGTGTGTGTGCTCGCTGGAGAGGAGAGAGACAGAAAGATACAGAGATTAAAAAAAAAAGTGGAAAATTACACCCCCCATCTCCCCCGCCCTGGGACGGCCACGCCGCTATCCCTTCTCCTCAAAGTCCTCTCGGGATCTTGGGCACACACGCACACGTGCTCGACCTGACTCTCAAGTCACTGGGTCTGGGACTTGCACCGTGGTAGACCATGTGGGAGTCCAGCCACCTTAACCACCACGCCACCTGCTGGCCCCTTGCATTACAGTCTTAGCATCTGGGCTGGGGGTGCGACCCCCTGGAGACGGAATGCCAGCCTGGTCTGTGTCACCGCAAAGCTTGGTCTCCTCTCCTGAGGGCACAGTGAGCCCCTGGAAACAGTGGGATGATGGTCGTTCTGGCCCCAAAGCCTCACGCCCCCTGGCTCGGAAGGAAGGATGGGTCGCCTCACTCCTATGGGTGGTTCTGCAGGTCCGCAGTGGGTTGTCCCTGCTCTGCCTCCGGACATGACCAGAGAGGAGGCCATGAGGAAGGCCAGAGGGGTGTGAGGGAGGGAGGTTAGAGGCAGGGGGATTCCTCAGCCCTCTGACTTTTTCCTAGGGAGGGAGGGTGGTAGATAAGATGAGCCAGCAGGGGAGGGAGAGAGGGTGATTTGGGGAGACTTCCAGCCCCGCATTCCAGGAGCCGAGGGAGGGAGCCTTAGTGAGATATCGAAGACATATTTGTACTAAGAAAGTATGTGTTGTTTTTCTGAAATTCAAATGTGTTCTGGTGTCCTGGGCTTTGCCTGGAAACTCCGGCTGGGGTGCAGGTGTCTGAGAGGAAGGAGGTGGGAGGGATTGCAGGGTGAGGGGCCCTGGTGCTCCCCTCACCCCTGCTTGCTTGGGTTACTTACTCCCTCTGGTATCTCCACCCCTCCCTTTCGTTCTTTCTCTTTCCTCCCCCCTTCCTTCTTATTTATTTATTTTTTTATGAGAGTTTATGTTTTTGTTGTTGTTATGTGCACATGCGCTCACCAGAGAGACCCAGAGACAGGAAGCAAGAGATCACCCCCAGGGGGGATGGCCATGCTGCAATCCCTTCTCCTGCATTTCCCTCTTAGGATTTTGGGCACACATGCCTGGCACACATTTTAAGCTTCTGGGTCCAGGGCTCAAACTGTGGTCAGCCATGTGGGAGTCCAGGGCCTTAACCACGACACCACCTACTAACCCCTCTCTTTTTAAAAAAGTTTACTTATTTCTTCCATGTGATACATGGTACCCCCAGGGGGTCACCATGCCACAATCACGCCCAGTATGACCCCTCCCACCCATGTGCCTCGGTGCCCAGGGAGGAATCAGGACTTGAACACAGGATCTTTCCCATGTAGTCCAGTTGTATTGCCACTGCCTAGCCACCTGTCCCCACCTCCACTCTTCCCTCCGGAGGTGCAGCCAGGCCTGGGAGCAGCAAGGACCCCCTTCCAGGCCCACCCCATGCCAGGACAGAGTGCCTGCCACACCTACCTTCCCAGAATTTCCCTCCGAGATCCACAGCCGGCCACCCCCTTCTCCCACCCGTTACTCATTAACTCCCAGTAACCTTGACCCTGCTGAGTCAACCGGCCTGTCCTGCAGCAATGGCACCCCCTTTGCACACACTGAGGAGAAACCTGGGTACCAGGGACCCACACCCTGGGAGACACTGAGGGCCGAGGCTTCAGCTCAGTCGGGCCCCCTGGGCAAAGCCGTACCCTTCTCCTGGCCCCGGTTCCTAAACTGTAACCTGGAGAACCACAGAGATAGACGGGCCTTCCCAGTCGGGTCGGGCAAGCCCAGCAGCACCGAGCGGGCAGGCTGCCCTGGTCCGGTGTGCGTGTGGGCTGGGCGCTCGGTGCTGCTGGGTATGCTTTTTTTTTTTTCCCTTTCTTTCCTTCTCTCTCGCCCTTCCTTCCTCTCTTTCTTTTTCTTCTCTTTTCTCTTTCTTCTTTCCCTTTTCTTCCGTCCTTCCTTCCTTTCTCTCTTTCTTCTCTTCTCTCTCGCTTTCTTTTTACCACCGGGCACATGCACTTGCCAGAGAGACGGAGGGGACAGCCAGAGAGCGGGAACGTGAGAAAGCAACCCCATGGGGAATGGCCACGCCGCAATCCCTTCTCCCCACCGGAGTCTGGGTGTGCATGCACATGCGCCTGGTGTGATTTTCAAGCCGCTGGGTTCAGAATTCGAGTCACTCCGCTGGCTACGTGGGTCCAGCCGCCTTAGCCATCATGCCTTCAGCCGGCCCTACCTACCTTCATTGCTTATGTATTTATTTTTAGGTTTCTGCTACAGGGCGTGTGCGTGCACCAGGGACAGACAGGAGGAGGGAGAAAGGACCCTCCAGGGTGGATCCCTGCTCTTCAATTGTCCTTTCGGGATTTGGGGCACGCACGCACATGCGCCTGGCATGATTTCCAAGCTGCTGGGTCCTGGACTTGAACCGCAGTGTACCATGTGGGAATCCAGAGCCTTAACCACCAGGCTACCTTACTAACACCTGCTTCTTTCTGCCCTTTGCCTTACCTTGGTGACAGCCCGCACCTGACCTCCTGTCCTCCCACTCCATCATTCCCTGATTCTAGTCGGCCCAAGCCCCTGCCCGCATCTCTCTCCCCATCCCTTCTTCCTCTCTGTCTCGCAGTCCGTGTAGAGCTCTGTGAGGTTGACCCACATGGGGAGGTCCCGGGTACGTGTCTGTACACGTCCCTGAGTTCACAGGGCTCACGTGTGCCATGGTCAGGGGCCGGCTGAGCCTAGGAGTGGGTCCCAGCATCAAGACCCATCAGGGGACTGGCCGCTGAGTGCAGTGGTTGAGCACTAGGCATGGGGAGCCGGGTCTCATGTGGTCAGCTGTGGTTCGAGTCCTGGCCCCGGTGACTCGAGGAGCGTGCTGGGCACACTGGCGTGCTCAAGGTCCTGCCAGGATGGAGTGATGGGGGAGCCAGGAGAGCAGAGGGGTCACGTCCATTGGGGGTGTTCTGCCTTCTAGCAAATGAAAAATAAAACCAAACAAAACAGGGGACCAGCAGGTGACGTAATGGCTATGTTGGTAGACTCCCATGTGATAGACCCAGTTCAAGTCCCGAACCTGGTGGCTTGAAACTCATGCTGGGTGCGTGTGCGTGCATGCCCCAAATCCCAAGGAGAATGGAGGAGAAGGGATTGCAGTGTGGCCACCGCCCCCCCGGGGGGGGGGATTTCTCGCTTTCTATCTTTCTGTCTCTCTCTGTCTTTCTGGCGAGCGTATTCACCCTATAGCAAAAACCTCTCAAAAAAAAAAAAGAAGAAAAAGAAAAGAAAGAAAGAATATATATATATATAGATATATTTATATATCTATATCTATATAGATATAGATATGCCAGAACAGATATGGACATGCATGAGAGAGAGAGAGAGAGAACTCCCCCCACCCTCAGTGTGGCCCGGCCACACCACTGTTTCTTCTTCTCCCATGTCACCCATCGGGATCCTGGGCACACATGTATGCATGCCCGGTGTGTTTTTCAAGCTGCCAGGGCTGGGACTCAAATCCTGATTGGCCATGTGGGATTTGGCTTCCTCTGTTATGCTTAACTGCTGTACTATGAGAGACCAGTCCCAATTTCCCCATTTTCTCTCTCTTTTTTTTTCTTTAGAGAGTTTCTTAGGCTATAGGGCATGTGTGCTTGCCTGAGAGACAGAGAGACAGAAAGCGAGAAATCACCCCCAGGGGGGATGGCCACACCGCAATCCCTTCTCCTCCATTCTCCTCTCGGGATCTTGGGCATGCACGCACAAGTGCAGTGTGAATTTTAAGCCTCCGGATCCAAGACTCGAACCGCCTACTTGGGAGTCCAGTGACGTAATCATGATACCATCTGCTAGATCCGTTTTTTTTCTTTGTCAAACATTTATGTGTGTATGTGTTGTGGTTTTCAAGCCACCAGGTCTGACATTGCAGTAGGCTGTGTGGGAATCCAGTGGCCCAGCTACTGAGCCACCTGCTGGTCCCCAGCCTCCCCAATGTCTTAACCTAGTCCCACCCACGCAGGCTCTTGGGCCATGCAGATAACACATCTACAGACCCGGAGACAGAACGAGGCGTGTCTGGGGGTGCCGTGGTTCTGCCAGCCAGGGCACACACAGGAGCACAATGTGGACTCTTCGCGGCCCCTGCTTTAAATGCCCCCACTCGGCAGCAGGCCCCCAGCGTGTCTGCCCGCCTCTGGCTTGCAACTCCCCCACCTCTCTCCGGCCCGCCTCACCCCGTGGCTTCGTGTCCACAGCGGGACTTGCAGTTCTGCCAGGCTCCTGGCCTGGTTCAACTTCCTCCGTCTGCAAGCCTGCCCGCTTCCTTCCTTGTCTGGCGGGGCTATTTATTCCTCCGGGCCCCTGTTAGGCAGATTACTGCTTTTGGGAAGTCTTGGTGGTAGCCCTGGACCCTACCCCTGTCCCAGGCCTGGGACTCGCCCAGAAGACCTCCTCTTAGAGCTCCCACTGGAGTCCTAGGGGCTCTGGTTCTGGGGCGGGAGAAGCATCCTCAGCACAGGTGGGTCCCTAATCTGCCCTCGTGCCTGAAAATTCAGGGCTGGTTCCCGAGAGGTCAGGTGAGGCTGTATCTGTCGCCAGGCCTTGAGTCAAGCCACTGACACCCATGATTATATGTGATACTGCATGAACTCAGGAGTTCCCATTTTACATGGAAACAGAGAGGTTAAGCCAGTGACCCAGGGTCACACAGCAGGCTGTAGCGTGGTTGGAGTCTAGCTGCCCAAGAGCAATACATTCAGCAGCTGAGGGCAGCTCTGGAGTAAGACCGCCTGGCTTTGGGCTCTCAGTCTTCCACTGCGTTGGCTGTGTGACCTTGAACAAGTGACTTAGCCTCTCTGTGCCTCATGGGCTTTTGGTTTTCAAATTTATGAGAGGGGCCAGCAGGCGGCATGGTGGTTAAGGCACTGGACTCCCACTTGGCCAATTGCAGTTCAAGTCTTGGACCTGGTGGCTTGTGTTCTCACTTTCTCTCTCTTCTGGTGAGTATGCGTGCCCTGTAGCAAAACTGGAAAATAATAACAATAATAAATAGAATAAAATAAGTAATTCTTTTTTAAAAAACGAATTTTTGCTTTAGGGCACATGCACTCACTGGAGAGAGAGACAGAGACAGAGACAGAAAGTGAGAAATCACCCCCTGGGGTGATGGCCATGCTGCAATCCCTTCTCCTCCATTCTCCTCTCGGGATCCTGGGCACACACGCACACGCGCCCGGTGTAAATTTGAAGCAGCCAGGTTGGAGACTGGAACTGGGGCTGGCCATGTGGGAGTCCAGCGACATAACCATTATGCCCCCTGCTGGTAGCCCAGATAAATAATTCTTAAGGCAAAAAAGAATAAAAGCGCTATTAAAAGTAATAGCATAGGGGCCGGCAGGTTGTGTGGTGGTTAAGGGCACTGGACTCCCATATGGCCGACAGGGGTTTGAGTCCTGGACCTGGCGACTTGCTTTCTCACTCTCTCTCTCTTTTGCTCTGTCTCTCTCTGGTCAAATTGAAAAATAAATTAATAAATGAAAAAATGAAATTAAATAAAATAATTCTTAAAAAAATAATAATGCAATTTATGAGACAGAGCGAGAGAAGCCACTCCACGGGGATCACACACACCTTGACCCCATTCCTCTGGACCCCCAGTCTACTGGGGTCCTGGGCACGCAGACCTGCACGCGGTGTGTTTTCAGGCTGGGTGGGCAGGAGCCCCAGGCTGTGGTCAGCATGGGGCTTTCAGCCTTGCAGCCCCGGATGCTGCCCACTGCACCAGAGCTGGGCCTCACAGGCTTTTTTTTGAATCTGCCAGAGTGCACGTGTGCTGTCAGAGAAAGTGAGAAAGCACCTCCCACGGAGAATGGTCATGCTGCGATCCCTCCTCCTCCGTTTCTCCCTCCTTTCAGGATTTTGAGGATGCGTGCACACGTGCCTGGTGTGATTCCCAAGCTGCTAGTCCAGGACTCGAACCTCACTGTCAGCCACACGCAATCACCTTAACCACCAGCCACTGGCTGGCCCCTCATGGGTTTTTGGGGTGGACTGCACTCTGCCTTTGTACACGGCGTGGTGTGTACCAATTGCCACGTTAACTAGTGCTATTCTGATTTGTATTTTTCATTTATTTTTCCTGAAATTATTATTATTATTTTAAAGTTTGCTCTAGGGTGTATGCACTCACCAGAGACAGGGAAAGTGAAAAAGCAAGCCACTAGGTCCGGGACTTGAACCTTGGTCGGCCATGTGTGAGTCACCTTTCCCCCACGCCCTATCTGTCCTCCGTGTTGCCCCTCTCCTGGGCGTGAATCTTCCCCAGGTCTCCATTCACTTTCCCTGGCCTCCGACTGGCGCGGCACCCTGGGTGCCCCTTATCAAAGGTCTGACAGCAGACTCTGACGAAACTGCCCGGGGACACTCCCCCAGCACTCCGCCTCAGGCCTGGAAGCCCCTTCACGGTCTGGGATCAAGTGGGTGTCCTTAGTCCACAGCGTGGGGCATAGGCACCTGCCCACGGGAGTTGCTCAATGAGTATTTATTGAGTATATAAAGCAATGGACACCCCCCAACACACAGTGAATACACATTTCTTGACTGTAAACACAATCTCTGCTTAGACCTCGGCCCCCAGAAAGGTAAGACACCACGGTAGCGAAACAGGCTGGTCACTGTACAGGGGGACGCGTGGGGGTGGGCCCGGGGTGAGGACGGGCTGCTCAGTCCTTGGGGGGGAGGAGGGGCCTTCTGTCCTCTGCTGAGCAGGCTCATCTGGGGACCCTGCCCCAGGGGTCCGGGCGCATCATCGGCTGGTCTCTTCCACCTCCCACGCCTCCACACACGCTTTGGGGACAGCTGGAGTGACAAGTGTGTGTGGGGCTGGGAGGACGGTCATGTCCGCGACGAGGGATCACAATGGCTCCCGCCCGCCGGCTGTTTTGTTGACTTTGGACAGGCCTTCCCGGAACCCAGAGTCTGTCATTCTGGGGGGGACAACAGGAGGCTGTCCAGGGGCTGAAGGGCAGCAGGCCCCGCCTCAGCGCTGCCCAGGCCCTGACCAGTCTGGCTCAGGGCCACCCAGGCTGCATTCCCAAGCCCCCAGAGCAGCCCGGGCCACACCCACGCTAGCCCAGGGCCACCCAGACTGCATCCCCAAGCCCCAGTGACCCTCATCGCACCCCCAGATCAGCCCAGGCCCCACCCACGGTAGCCCAGGGCCACCCAAGCTACATCCCCAAGTCCCAGTGGCCCTAACCAAGCTCCAGAGCTGTTCAGGTCCCACCTCCAAGAGCCGCCCGAGCCCCACCCACTCCATTCAGAGATAGGCAGACTACAGCCAGCATCCAGGAGAACCTAACCACGCCCCAGAACAGCCGAAGCCCCGCCCACTCTAGTTCACAGCCAACCAGGCTACAGCCAACATCCAGGAGTCTAGTTCACAGCCAACCAGGCTACAGCCAGCATCCAGGAGAACCTAACCACGCCCCAGAACAGCCGAAGCCCCGCCCACTCTAGTTCACAGCCAACTAGGCTACAGTCAGCATCCCTGCGACCCTAACCACGCCCTAGAGCAGTCCAAGCACCGCCCACCCTAGCCCACAGCCACCCAGGCTACAACCAGCATCCCCGTGACCCTAGCCACGCCCCAGAACAGCTCAAACCCCGCCCACTCTAGCCCACAGCCACCCCGGCTGCATCCCTAAGCCCTAGTGGTCCTAACCACGCCCCAGAGCTGCTTCAGCCCCGCCCACTCTGGAGGGCTCACACTTGCTCCATCTGCACGTCCTCTTCGTCCTCCTGGGGCAGCTGCAAGTACGGGTTGTCCCCCGTGGGCTGGAACTTGTAGCCCGTGAGCACAAAGAAGGCCAGGGTCGAGCCCTCCACCAAGAGCTAGGGGGCCAGAGGACAGGGCGGGGTGTCAGGCCGGCACACGCGTCCCTCACACCTCCTGCACTGCCTGGGCCTCCAGCTCACCTGGTACAGCCATTGCCACTGGAAGGGCACCGCCACTCGCAGGAGGATGGCGATGATGCGCGTGAAGTAGACGTAACAGATGACCTGTAGGGGTGGAGGGGCATGGGGTGGGGGCCCAGGGTGCAGACGGGGCACGACGGAGGGTGCGCCGGCCCCCCACCAAGGAGAGCGTGAGCGGGGGTCCTCCCATGACGT